CCAACCAAACCAAAACCTGTCCAACCTCCAACGAGCCCCTCTATCTCTGGAAAAACCCACACCGACTGGATTCTGGGAAGAAACCTTTCTCTGTAATCGTGAGTCCCATTAGTCTCTGTTTTTGCAAGAGTCTTTGTTTCTCTGAGTCTAAAGTGATTTTTGTCTTTTGCCTTTCAGCAGGAAGTCATCCTGCATACTGGATGTTTGGCCTTCTCCCCCTGGAAGGATTGTTTGAGCTTCACACTGAGCAGGGGATTCATTTCCACATGTCCTGTTCAAATTCTCCAGGAAATCTAAGTGGCAATGCTCTTCATTGCTCCTCAGGAACCAACCAAACCAAAACCTGTCCAACCTCCAACGAGCCCCTCTATCTCTGGAAAAACCCACACCAACTGGATTCTGGGAAGAAACCTTTCTCTGTAATCGTGAGTCCCATTAGTCTCTGTTTTTGCAAGAAGCCGTTCAAAGTTCCCACGGACCCTGAACTAACCTCTGTGAACTTCCCTTCTCACTTCCAGTTCCAGTTCACCAGCTCTCTGAGTTCCCCAGAACCCAACCCATTTGAACTCCTCAATACAGCCTGTTAAACGTTTACTCTGGTTTCTCTAAGTCGTTTTCTGCATGTGGGTCAGATCTCTTAAAAACAACATGAAAATAACATCACATCAAGAATGAAATCCTGCTCATAGCTTAAAGTATTCGTCTATAAACATATAGAAGATGGTACAACCAATAAAGACACCATGTTGTGTAACTATTTTCTGTCAGAGAAGCCAAACTCTTGTTATTTTGTTAGCCTAAAGTGGATGAGCTCCAATGCAACAGTTATCAGCTGCTGTTATTTCTCCCAGAAGTAAACGACCAGGCTTCTTTCAGTCCTGATTTCAGATAAATATTCTGTGTTTCATCGTTAATTTTAACTGATTTTAAAAGGCTAACAGAGAAGAATGGAGGCATCGGTCTGCCGTTTGTGAGTTATTCACTGCACCACTTGGTGGAGGTGAACCTTACACACTGTCCCTTTAAGCTTACATTTTGATAACCATATGAAGTGAATTTCATTCATTTATTGTCACAAGCAGAGAAATTTTTTTGTAAATAGAAATAAAATAAAAAATGTAATGCAAATACAAAACTTTAAAAAAAGTTTTGATAGTAAATTTACTGATTCCTCAGATTTCATTTTAACATTTTACTTTTTTCACTCTTGATAATAATTTCTTTCAAATTGAGTTTTATAAATTGCATTATTTTTAAGTAGCATTTTACTGTACAGGTCACATATCTTCTGGGGGTGGGCTTTCCTCTGGAGAGGGGAGCAAAGATGCATTTCTATTGGTCTGCATGGATGTTAGCCACAACATTTTTAACTGGTCTGGAGCGAGCGTTTGTTTTTCGGCTTGAAGTAAATGGAAGGTGATCTGTAAAATGCAACCGGGAAAAAAAAATCCAAATCGGAAAACTCAATTGGAAAAACAGAAACATAAAAAAAGGTGAAAAAATAAAATCAGAGAAAAGCTACTCTTTATGTCTTTTTTGATTATTTTTTCAAAGTTTATTTTTGAATTGCATTTTTTTATTACCATTTAAATGTGTCCTTTGCTTGCAAAAATTATTGAACACATTTCCCTCCATAACCACATAAATGACAGTGAAACTGTGAAAGATTAGAAGTCATTCAGTTACTTATAGGTTTTAAGAATATGTCAGAACATTTAATTAATTTCCTCTTTTATTCATTTACATTGTTATTTCTTCTTTTAACAGATATCTTTTTTTTCATTTACTCAATTTAAAAACAGCTGGTTACCACTTGACCCAAATGACCATTTTGCTGAAATAGACATGCATCAATGGTCCATCACAGCTCCCATTATTTTCAGGGCCTCCAGAAATGTTATTCAAAATCGAAAATTTCCAGCAAACTCCATTTCATCTGCCAATAACATTTTCCCACATGAATGCATGAATTAACAAGCACATAAAAGAACATCAAAATCAATAGTTGCTGTTAATGTAATATTAAGTACCATTTGTCCCTTTCTGCTCCTTCACCAGCTTGGTGCAGAAGAGTTTTAGAGTGAAGTATCTGTTGCTACAACACGAACATACACCTCAGTCAAACACATTTATTTTTATGAAATTAAGCGTTTGTGGTCTTGCCTATTATTTTCTTCTGGCACAGAAAACATTGGAGCGAAAGCATCCTGTAAAACAGAAGAGACAGGAAGAAAACAAACATTTCATGGCTTTACATCTCTGCAGGATTCAGTCCAGTTGCTTCAGGTTCTTTTTTTTAATCGCAGTCACACACAGTCTTGTGTTTGCAATGGTTCCTGTTATCCAGGAACAACCAGAAAAACCATACTGTCAGATAAAACACATTTTTCATAAAATTTTTTCATAGTTCTGTAGGAAGAATTAAGACAAACAGATTTCTCTTTCCGTTTTAAAGATGCATGCTTCAGTCTTCAGGATAGATTCACTGCATGTATCCAAACATAGATGCTAAAAAAAAGGCTTATTATCATCAGAGGATCTTTGGAAGATGAAGATTTTAAAATGTTCACAGGTACATGTCAGTAAGTCAATATATCAACAAAAATTATTTAACTAATTGAATAAAAAGAAACTCAAATTTACATAACAGAATTATTACATACAGAGTGATATATTTTAAGCAAATATTCACTGTAATTTTAATGATTAAGACTTAAATCTAATAAACAACCCAAATTCAGTGACTGGAGAGCGCCTAAAAACACATATAACTTCTTCACTCTATATCTATTTATACATTTAAAGTGAACTAACCATATTCATTTCTAAGTAATGTACTTTTTAAAAGAGTGATTTTGCATTCTGTATTTTAAGGGCAAATTTAATAATTAAATCATGTCTTACATGAAAAATAAATGTAAATATGTATATATATATATATATATATATATATATATATATATATATATATATATATATATATATATATATACAGGTGCTGGTCATAAAATTAGAATATCATGAAAAAGTAGATTGATTTCAGTAATTCCATTTAAAAAGTGAAACTTGTATATTATATTCATACATTACATACAAACTCATATATTTCAGATGTTTATTTTGTTTAATTTTGATGATTACAAATGACAACAAATGAAAATCTCAAATTCATCATATCAGAAAATTAGAATATTACTGAAGACCAATAAAAACAAAGGATTTATAGAAATGTTGGCCAACTGAAAAGTATGAACATGAAAAGTATGAGCATGTACAGCACTCAGTATTTAGTTGGGCCTCCTTTGGCCTGTATTACTGCAGCAATGCGGCGTGGCATGGAGTCGATCAGTCTGTGGCACTGCTCAGGTGTTATGATAGCCCAGGTTGCTCTAATAGTGGCTTTTAGCTCTTCTGAATTGTTGGGTCTGGTGTATTGCATCTTCTTCTTCACAATACCCCATAGATTTTCTATGGGGTTAAGGTCAGGAGAGTTTGCTGGCCAATTAAGAACAGGGATACCATGGTCCTTCAACCAGGTACTGGTAGCTTTGGCACTGTGTGCAGGTGCCAAGTCCTGTTGGAAAATGAAATCTGCATCTCCAAAAAGTTGGTCAGCTGCAGGAAGCATGAAGTGCTCTAAAACTTCCTGGTATGTGGCTGCGTTGACCCTGGACCTCAGAAAACACAATGGACCAACACCAGCAGATGACATGGCACCCCAAACCATCACTGACTGTGGAAACTTTACACTGGACTTCAAGCAACGTGGATGAAGTGCCTCTCTTCTTTTCCTCCAGACTCTGGGACCTTGATTTCCAAAGGAAATGCAAAATTTACTTTCATCAGAGAACATGACTTTGGACCACTCACCAGCAGTCCAGTCCTGTTTCTCTTTAGCCCAGGCAAGACGCTTCTGACGCTGTCTGTGGTTCAAGAGTGGCTTGACACAAGGAATGCGACAGCAGAAACCCATGTCTTTCATACGTCTGTGTGTGGTGGTTCTTGAAGCACTCACTCCAGCTGCAGTCCACTCTTTGTGAATCTCCCCCACATTTTTGAATGGGTTTTGTTTCACAATCCTCTCCAGGGTGCGGTTATCTCTCTTGCTTGTACACTTTTTTCGACCACATCTTTTCCTTCCCTTCGCCTCTCTATTAATGTGCTTGGACACTGAGCTCTGTGAACAGCCAGCCTCTTTAGCGATGACCTTTTGTGTCTTGCCCTCCTTGTGCAAGGTGTCGATGGTCGTCTTTTGGACAACTGTCAAGTCAGCAGTCTTCCCCATGATTGTGTAGCCTATAGAACTAGACTGAAAGACCATTTAAAGGCTTTTGCAGGTGGTTTGAGTTAATTAGCTGATTAGAGTGTGGCACCAGGGGCCATCAATTTTGAACCTTTTCACAATATTCAAATTTTCTGATATGATGAATTTGAGATTTTCATTTGTTGTCATTTGTAATCATCAAAATTAAACAAAATAAACATCTGAAATATATGAGTTTGTATGTAATGTATGAATATAATATACAAGTTTCACTTTTTAAATGGAATTACTGAAATCAATCTACTTTTTCATGATATTCTAATTTTATGACCAGCACCTGTATATATATCACTGGCTGTGCTTAATGTGGTTCCTAGTAAATCAGATGCCATATGAAAATAAAACAAGTTTCCTACCTCTAATTTAATTAAATTAAACCTAATTTGGATAGTTCAGGGAGCGAGAGAAAGGTGACGCTCGTTTATTTAAATCAGGGAGAGATTAGTTTATTTCCTGAAATTGTACAGTAATGCTTTTTCATTAAACGGTTGCCTTCTCCATTAGATTTAGATGTCTGTGAGGAGATGGGTAGCCTTGCCTTCTGTTTTCACTGAGGCAGGCAGAAATATAATGTCCCAGGCGAAGGTAGAGAAAGGTCACCGTGCACTTACCTATGTTCATTGTTTCACAGGATCAATATGAGAATTTATAAGGAATCTAATTGTTGCATAGAATCGATAAAGGAGTCAGAATTGTGAAATTCTTATGAATTCCCAACCATAGTGGAAGAGAAGCACAAGCTGTTTCAATAAAACTCTATTAATTGCCTTCCTTCTTTTGTGAGTTTTTTAAGGTTGAAATAATGTTCCAAATTTGGGTGGGTCAAATTCTGAAATGTAAAAACTAAAAGTAAAAAAAATTAATATTTAAGAAGAACAGCAGTCATTGTCACAGAGCTGTGCCACCTGTCAAACAAAATATAAAGCAGCTCCTAACATCATGACCTACCTGTACTCAATGTCCTTAAAATAAATCAGACCAGGTAAAGTTTTATTGTATCAAAAATATAAGGTAAACTATTAAACAAAACTGTAAAAGTAATTTGTATGAGAAAGAGGAAAAATGGTGCAAAAAGCATCTGTCTTGTAGCTTAATGGCTCTTTGTGACCACAGAATGTTGCAAGGAATATTCTTTAAATGACATATTCTTGCCATATTATTGGCTTCTCAGTTTCTCTGCAGCAATTGAAATTTTAATCCCTGTTCTGATTGTTCAGGCAAGTCTGTGAAAGCAATGGGAGGTGCTGAGTGAATGTATATGTATAGTATCTTTAGGGGTTAAATCAAATTATCAATGATTTATCTACTATGTTGTTAACAGTAAAACATCTTTCTAATGACCTTAATGTTTCTGATTGTTTTGAATCCTCTGGGGTTTTCATTTGTATAGTCATCTATCGTCTTCACCTGCCGATCCCACCTATGTCTGGCGGTCACTGGGACAGAGATACCAGTTAACCTAACAGCCATGTTCTTGACTGCGGGGACACTCTGGAGAGGATTTATGTGTCACAGGGTGAAACCATGTTTATTATTTTTGTTTCCTTGTATTGCTTGTCAACTGCTGACGAGCAACACATCACCAACACCTTAGGTTCAAAAAAAGAATAAGCTGGGACTTGGTGATTATGAGGCCTGAATTATGGTGTCAATTTTTTTTTTTTATCAAATTAAAAAAAATAATAAAAAAAGTTTTTCTTTCCAATATATTTATTTTACTTTCAAAATGATTTCCCATTTCAGATAGCTTTTTTATAGAACTTCATAAAAACACAAAATAACTCCATACAAAATCTTTTTTCAAAAAGGTGAATCTACATTTTCAAGAATCAAGAATCTTTATGGCTAATAAAAGTAATATTTGAGAGTTTAAAAATTTAAATTAAGAATTAAAGTCAGTATCGATGTCTAACTGGATATTTAGGACCTCCTTATTCTCCCCTCTGCTGGTAAGCTTTATAGGTACACTAATAAAAATGTTTACTGAGGACTTGGAAACTATTCACGTTGTCTAAGATACCAGAAGATGCTTTAATGACCTTTGTCCTTAATTATCCAGCTGACTGGTCCAAGCAAAAGTACAGTCTTTTTATGGGAAAATGGGATATATCAGAGGTGCAGAGGGCCATAAAGCAAGAAAACCCTTTGGAAAACTTAAACAGATTCACAGGCTGATCATCAGTATTTAATGCAAAAGGAGCCCCAACCAAATATGAGTGCATAAACTGCATGGTGCATGGACATACTGTAAGAAAGCTCACATCTTTGGTAGAAACCTAATATATAATGTATTTCAATATGTAATGTAACAAATTGAATTTGGGTTTTTCATGAGCTTTAAGCCAGAATCATCAAAACAAAGAAAAATAATGGCTGGAAACTCTTTATGCAATACGTCTATTTAAAACATGAGTTCAGTTTGTAAGTTAAATCACTGAAATAAATTCAGTTTCAAGTCTATTTAGATATACTTATACTATTTTCATTGTCCTTTCTTCTATTCATCTACCCATTTTTTTAGGGTTTGCCAGTTTTATCCGGTTCTACCTCCTAAAAGCTCTGTCTGCATTTAATGAGCTTCTGAAAGGCCTGCTTAAAGTCGTCATTGAACACGGTGTAGATGACAGGGTTGATTAGTGAGTTTAGGTATCCCAGCCATGTGAAGACATCGAACAGCACCGGACTGAACCAACAGCTTGTACATATCGCGCTGACGAGTGTGCTGACAAAAAATGGGAGCCAACAGATGATGAACGCTCCCAGAATAATGCCCAGCGTCTTGGTGGCTTTTCTCTCCCGTGCCGCACACAGACGTTTCCTCTCCAGCACGCTGTCTGCCAGCTTCACTTTAACACTGTTCATGAACACAGGCGAGCCTCCCCCTCCACCCCCAATACCTCCTGCATTGCCAGAGTGTAGGTGTGCTTCCTGGTGGGAGGCAGAATTAAGAGAACAGAGAGAGGAGCCTGCAGATGTCTGGATGAGCTGTGCCGTTGTGAAGCGCTTCCCGGATGATGGGGTCTTGAAAATACGAGAGCGGGCAGCAACGTAGATCCTTCCATAGAGGATGATGAGAAGCACTGTGGGAACGTAGAAGGCACCGAAGGTGGAATATAGGGTGTAAGAGATCTTCTCTGTATTCACTACACACTCTGTAAGCTCCCCCTGCGCTTTGGCCTGCCGCCAGAAAAGTGGAGGCATGGAAATAGAAATAGAAATCACCCAAACAACCCCAACCATCATCCCCGCCCTACGCATGGTGCGGTGCTTGGAGTACTCCAGTGCATCTGTAATGGCCCAGTAGCGGTCCAGGGCAATAACACACAGATGCAAAATGGAGGCAGTGCAGAAGGTGATATCAGATGAGAGCCAGATGTCACAAACAATCTGTCCCAGCGACCAGGTTTTTGTTACGGTATACACTATGCTTATGGGCATGACCAAGATAGACACCAGCAGGTCTGTGATGGCGAGAGAGCCTATGAGGAAGTTGGCAGGTGTGTGGAGCTTTCTGGTCAGAAAGATGGTGGCTATGACGAAGGCATTTGAGAGAGCGGTTACCAGGGTGACGACTGCTAACACCACGTAGAGCGAGACCTGAAGGCTGAGGAGTGTGGCCTCATTCCAAGATGGAGTTGTAGTGTTATTACCTGTGATGTTGTCCATGATTTTAGTTCATCACTAAGAATCCTGATGATCTACGAGCTCCAGTTCACCATTTCTCCCCAGAAAAAAAATCAAACTTTGTATTCAGATGATCTCATCCTCTACAAGCAGCCAGCGGATCATGATACCTTAATGCCAGGATGTGCAATTTCTCAGAGTCATAAATGGGTTTCTCATCTTCAACAAAAAGCCCAGTGAGGAGCTGAATACTGGAAGACGATGATGAGAGATGAAGAGGTCTCACTTTTATCTTTTCTTCTGAAGTCTGCATGAAGTCGTCTGAGTTCTTTTTGTCTAATATCAGACTCTTTCGATGAGGCTTTGAAGAAAAAAATGTCAGGATTGCATTAATAATGTCAAAAGTGTTTCAGTGATAGAGCCTCTTCATAAAAAGCTCTTCAGAGTCCAGTGGGATTTTGGGCCATTATGCACAACTTTTCTAAAATAAAAAGATAAGAAAAGCCTTTTTCTAATGTGCAAGACTAGAACTTGTGTCCATTAATTTCTCCTCTTCACTGCACTGATTATCCAGGAAGGTTTCAGCAGAAGTATCCGTGTTCTGTTTAGATGTTTAGATGTTTAGAGTGACTGTAATCCAGTGCTGCATAAATTTTCTACACGAAACAAAGAGAGAGAGAGAATATATTAGACATTGTTGTCTATTCCTTTTATTTTTATACATAAAAACATACAGAAACAAACCACCTACAGTACAGTGTTGCAGAAATGTGTTTCCTTTTTGTCACATACAGTATGAAGACTTTAGAGAATAACATAAATGATGAAAAATGAAAGATCTAAACTAACCTGATCCAATATGAAGAAAGCAACCATCCCATTAATAAATCTAGAACTGTAATAATCAAATATGAATTTGATTTTAAAGGCTACAGTACACCATGAATACAGGATGTCACCCTGAATATTCAATAAATTGCTTAAACAGAACCCTTCTAATTAGGAAGCAGGCTACAATAATATAAAATAGCACCATATCATGTCGGCATCAATCAGATGATAAACAAAGCAAATGCTATTTATCAGCCTGGAAAAAAATATTACATGAATATTAAGACTCTGGTACTTAAATTGATCACAGTCAGTCATTATCCAGTATCCAGCCTCCCAAAAGTACTCCAAGACTACAACAGCATCTCATCCAGGATATTAACATGGAACAAAGTACAAGATCTAAGGCTCGGCAGGCCTCACTTCCCTTAGTTGAGGTCAGAGTTTATGATTCGATCATAGGAAAGAGAGATTGGGTAAAAACGGCTTCTACGGCAAATTTCCAAGAGCTGAAGAAAATAAGGGAAAAAAGGCTTACCGTATTTTCACAACTATAAGGCGCACTTAAACGTCTTTTTTTTTTCCTCAAAATGTGCGGTGCGCCCTATGGTGCGGTGCGCCTTATGTGTGTTGTAACTGCGACTTTTGAGACCACCTCATTGAGGAGATGATGAAAGAGTGGCTGAATGTAAGGAGGCCAGGTGTTTTTTTTCCACCCATCACCATCGCTGTTAATATGTAACTCCATGCGTGCCCATCTCACAGCTGATGTGAAAAACATGGGGAAACAAATTAACGCTGCTCGACATCGCTGTAAACCGGACCCAGCAGGTGCAGCAGAAGCAGCGTGTTTACATGCAAAGTCAATGGTTGACGCGCATATAGGTGCAGCAAAAGGTCCCGCAGCGCATTTTGGTGCAGCACGTCGGGAGCGTTTAAGCATCTGAAGCGCCGCCAACGCGCTTCTGCTGCTCGAGATGGAAAAATTGAAGTTTTGCTGCTGGACGCGCCGCATCAACCAATCAGAGAAGCTGATCTGGGAGCTGACAGCGAGACAGACAGCGCTCTGATGACATATGATATTAACGCAAATGGAAAAGGCTGGATGGATGGATGAGGAGATGATGAAAGTGGCTGAGACAGGTGTATGTGAGAAGACTAGGTGGTTTTTTCCACGCATCACCATCGCTGCGTGCCCATCTCACAGCCGATGTGAAAAAAAGGTGAATCAAATGAACGCTGTGCTCGCCGTTATCCCGGGGGTCTGACAAAGGAGCTTCAACCGCTCGACATCGGTGTGAAGCAGCCGTTCGAAGTAAGGCTGCGAGCGGCGTGGGAGCGATGGATGACAGACGGAGACCACAGTTTCAGGATAAGAAGGCAGCGCCGGGCAGATTACGCCACAGTTTGCGGATGGATTGTAGATGCTTGGACTAACGTGTCTGCTGGCTCTGTTGTTCAAGCTTTCGCAAAAGCCGGCATTATTTCTGAGGAGCTGCGCTGCACGGAAAGTGACTGACAGCGAAGAAGGGGAAACTGGCATGTCTAATTTAGCGCAGCTGTTTTATTCAGAAACAGAGGATGATGACTTTGATGGGTTTGATTAATACTTTGTAATAAATACACGAATAAAGCACAATCATACTCAGTTTTGCTCCCGCTGTATTTTTCTCCCTGAAAACTTAATTCAACAGCAGCCCCGGCGCGTCTCCTCCTCTTCATCGCGGTGGCTTGCAGGTGTTTTTTCATCTAAATAATCTAAATCTTGCAGCTATATTTGCTGTGATCAGTGGGAATAAAGTAGTTTTAATATGTTTTTAAGTGAGAAAGTCCACCTGAAAACTTAATAATTGCAGTCAGTTCATCCAGATTATCTATTTCTGTCGGAGGCGCTCAGACCCCCACATACCAGCGGTGCGCCGACAGGAGAAATCCTTTCGTTCACCACGGCTGCTGGCAGGTGTTTTTCATCTAAATAATCTAAATCTTGCAGCTATATTTGCTGTGATCAGTGGGAATAAAGTAGTTTTAATATGTTTTTAAGTGAGAAAGTCCACCTGAAAACTTAATAATTGCACTCAGTTCATCCAGATTATCTATTTCTGTCGGAGGCGCTCAGACCCCCACATACCAGCGGTGCGCTGACAGCAGAAATCTCTTCATCAGCAGCCTGTAGGCTGGGCAGCCTGGGGTTCACCGCGGCTGCTGGCAGGTGTTTTTCATCTAAATAATTTTAGCTGCAGGCACCAGGATACCGGCAATAAAAGCGAACATATTCCGTCAGCAGGTTTCAGGATTTTAAGTTAATTTAGGAGTGACCACAGCGCTGTGTCATCTGCGATGGGTCTGTCTCACGGCCAGCTGCCAGGTTTGATTAATACTTTGTAATAAATACATGAATAAAGCACAGTCATACTCAGTTTTGCCCCCGCTGTATTTTTAAATACGCAGTAGAGGTATTTAAAGGTAGTAGAGGACTTGTACCTGTATATAAAAAACGCGCCCTATAGTCCGGTGCGCCTTATGTGTGTGTTAAATACAGAAATTGGACACATAACTGAGAGTGCGCCTTTTAGTCCGGTGCGCCTTATGGTCGTGAAAATACGGTACATTGACCCTCTAAAACTGAAGACATTTGGGAAATTATTTTGTGGACTGATGAGACAATTATGGAAATTTTTTACATCTGGCTACATCTGGCATAATGGGCATCTCTAAACTCTCCTTAGGTGTGTGTGTGTGTTCATGGTTGTCTCACTTATAAACTGCTGGAGCACCGGCACCACTTTGACCCTGACAGAATAAGCGAAAAATGATGGATGGATGGAAATGTACTGATGTAAACTATTTTTATAGCACTAAATACCTATTTTGACTTTCTTTTTTTTTTATTAACAAACATTCTAAAAAAAAAACACAACATAATGGAGATTACCGGCCTAACCAAGTTCCACTGTTCATCAACAGCTCAGCTGTAGAGGTGATCAGCAGCACAGAATTCATCACATCACAGTTAACCTCAACTGGACTAAGCACCACCTCACTGATCAAAAGGGCACAAAAGCGCATGTACTTCTTGCGGAGGATGAGGAGAGCTCACCTACCCCCACCCATCCTAAAAATCTTCCACAGAAGCACCATGGAGAGCTGTCTCACTGTGTGGTGTGAAGGCTGCAGCGTCTCAGACTGGAAGAAGGTGAGGAGAGTAGTAAGAACAGCAGAGAGGATCAGCGGGGCTCCTGTTCCCTCCATTAAAGACATTTAATCCCAGCGCTGCGTGTCTGCCCGTAACATCATCAATGACCACTCACACTCCCACCACGGACTGTTTTCCCTGCTGCACTCTGGAAATAGACTTAAATGTTGTATAAAATGAGCTTAAAAAAAAAACTAAACTGAATGCTGGAACTGTAACTAACATACAGTTGTATGTTTACATTATTATTGCTGCTTACCTTTATCATGGCTACACAAAAAATGAAAATGTCTTGAGAGCTGTACTAAACAAAATTTCTTTTTGTATACACTATGTGCACAAAATGACAAATAATGTATGTCTCTCTCTCTTCCTATTACAGTGCACACAGTTTTTGTTTTCAGTCTCAAATCTTTTTTTCCCCAACTGAATATCTGAGAAGTTTGTGATTAAATCAAAACATTATCATTGGTATAAAGTTTTCTTTCGGGAGTGTTGCTTTTTGCACATCAATGAGCTAAAAAGTTATTAAATAACAACTGCAGTAAAACTATTCTGTTTCATGCTGTGATGAAATGTTTCCCTGTTCAGTCCTTTTAATGTTTGTTTCTGATAATACTGGCAAATTACCTCATTTATCAAGCCTTTACAGACCTCTTCTTTTTTGAGGATGCTATTTTCCCTTGGGTATGACAGCTAAATTGAATTTAAATATTTTATTAGACAGCTAATCAAATTAATTGGATTCATTACTCTCTTGACACTTCCTTCTGGTATTACACAGTACCTCGTAAAAATATTAAGGAGGAATAAAAGACGATCATTTATTACTGAGTGGATCATGTAAATAAGTGGTCCTCCTAATTGTCAATCATTCTGGTGATATGTTAAAGAAAGGCAGTCCTACGTGCTCGTTCCCATTGGCTATCTTTTTCTGCGCATGCGCACTTTCAGGTGTACATCTGTGGTGAGCTACGGTTTCAGACTGTCATTGAAGCTCACCTTTCTCTCCACAGTTCTTTAAAAATGGCCAGGGGTCGTAAGAGAAAAAGTATCTACGAAGTGTATGAGAAGAAAAGAAAGGGAGATATTTCCTGGAATGGTTTGCGCAGAGAGCTCTCCTTGCAAAGCATTGTGGGATTTGTTGTCACAGTGGCCCGCGGTCACCATAGGCTGCCGTTACCCAACAGTGGCGACTATTAACAAAGATGACGCAGGCACTGCGCGGTGGAGGAGGAGGTACATGACCAACGGGGGGTAAAAAGCAGTGATCATCTGTCCGAACGGTCAGTTAACTGAGTTTGCTATAAAGTCCACTATATAGTCCCCGCTATATATAGTGATTGAGGGATTTAGGGGTTAAGGGTGCAGGGTGGTGCATGTGCACTTTTTTTAAAAGTGGAGAGGGTGGGTCTTTTCAAAAATTTGTGGAAATCCTCCACTATACCTTTAAGTCTACGCAAATGTCAGCAACATAATGTAATGTTCAATATGACAAGTTGAACATTATGTGTGATAGACCACTCAACCATTTGGTCTGAGATATCTCCTAAATCATAAACAGTA